GTCTCCCAGGTCTGTCACTGGTGGTGTCCGCCGGTTTCCGGTGGCCATGTAGCATTTGAATTCATTCGTCTCCCAGGTCTGTCACTGGTGGTGTCCGCCCTTTTCTGTTGGCGACGCAACATTTCTATTCATTCCCCAATCAGTGTACTTTTAGGGGTTCTCAATTCTTTCTTAAAACGTGTCTGCCCTTTTCCGCTGGCCATGCAGCGTTTCAATTCATTTGTATCAAAAGTGGCGTCTTTACTTTTGTCTCCCAAGTTCGGTGTCCCCTGCTAGTGTCCACCCTAATCCGCTGGCCATGCAGCGTTTCTATTCATTTGCCTCCCATATGATTTGTTTACTTTTGTTTTCCAGGTTCGGTGCCTGCGCTGCTGGCCTCCGCCCTTTTCCCCTTTTCAGCATTTCTATTCATTTGTCTCCCAGGTGGTTTCTGTACCTCCCCGAACAGGTTATATACTGTTAGGGGTCCTCAAGGCCTTCTGAGAGTGTCCGCCTTGCTGCGGGACAGCGTGTCCGCCTTCCGTCCGGCTTGTATCCCTTTGTCTCCCTTCTTGTTGGTCACTATGTCCGCCTTCTCCCTTCTGTCTCCCTTTGTCTCCGGTCTTGTCTCCCTTCTTGTTGGTCACTGTGTCCGCTTTGTCCCCTTCTGTTACCTTGGTCTCCCTTCTTGTCTCCCTTCTTGTTGGTCACCTTGTCCGCCTTGTCGCCATTGTATGCGTCTTGTCTCCCTTCTGTTTCCTTTTGTTTCCCTTCTTGTCTCCCTTCTTGTTGGCCATTGTGTCCGTCTTGTCTCCCTTCTGTTTCCTTTTGTCTCCCTTCTTGTCTCCCTTCTTGTTGATGTCTCAAAATGTGGACGGAATGCTTCGTTGTTGTCCCACCTGTTTGGGGTCTACGGTGGTGTAATTTGTTCATTGCTTTACCTTCAGAGGCACCTCGCACCCACCAAAGGAAAGGCCCATCTTCGTGCCCAGGTCAGCCGCTGGCACACTGCTGCTTCTTGTCTGGCGTCTGGAGACAGAGCGATCTTTGCAGGTCAAGAGTTTGTTTTAGAATGCACTTGTTTAGCAAGGTTTTTGGGGATAAACGTATGACAAACACCTCTGAAGGTTGTTGACCACCGGTTTCAAGGGGTTCAACACCCAGTTCCGGTGCTGTGAGGCCCATCTGCTGCACGTCATGCCAGAGCAGGCGGACCGGGCGTGGTCCACCGTTCGGTGGAGATGTCATCGATCCATGACATCGATCCAGACGTGAGCCGTCAGGCGTGCACGCCAGATGCAGCAAGTTTCACAGCTGCCATGAGTGTGACCTGGCGAAACTAGGCTGGATGGGTCGCACCAGGAGACTGACTAGTTGACCTACCTGGGACGTCATGCTACATTATTCAACCGGGGTCGGCGGACATGGTGGACTGGTGGACCTCCAGGTTTTGACCCATCCTCATCATTCGCATGCCCGAATGGGGGCCTGCCTCAGCGCAGTGCCGAGGTGTTGGGAGGCTGGGCTTCGTGGGATTCGTGGGATCTGCCAAGGCATGCAAGGGTTCGAGCCAATGGCGTGTAGCCTTGGCGTTGATGAACCACGCAGAGCAGAGTAGCTTGGCGCTGGATGGCTTCGCCTGCAGTGCGGCCGCTGTTCTGCGGTGTGGGGCAGAAACATGTTGATAAACAAGAAGGAGATGGAAAAAGGTTGGAGTAGGAGAAGGCGGCAATGGTCTTGACTTGACAAGGGTGTTTGCCATTGCACGGAAGTCTGTGGTCGAAGCTCTTTTGCTTTCGATATTGCTTTAGATAGCTTTGCAAGTGCCAGACCTTTGACATCGGATTACTAAGGCCATGAGTGCATGCGAGAAGGGGCGCCTTTGGTCACAAGCTTTGAGGTGGGGTCAAATCAGAAAGGCAGAACACGAGGCAAACCCGGGCGGGACTTTAGGGCAAACAATGTTAAAAAGAGTTGCGTCCGCCGCGCATGAAAAAGCATACATTTGGAAGCACCTGCACACATCCTGCTGACGTAGGTTGTTGGAGAGAATGCATCGCCATGAGCTGCAGCCTGAAACAGTGACGTTCACTGCTGCCTTGGGCGCTTGTGCCAGCAGTGCCAAGTGGGAGAAAGCGTCGGGAGACCTAGCCGATCGGTGGGTGCCATGCGTCCACATAGAGGTGCCCGGAATACAAGCGTTTTTCTTCACCCCACATAAGACTATGCCACGGATGAGCGCCTTGTGCCCTGGTGCCACTGCTGGTGCCTTTCACAATGCATGCTGCAAACGAGGATGTTCATTTGTCTCATTTTTAAAAGTATTTACATATTCAAAGATTGTTATATTTTGCGCTGTTGGACTGATAGCTTTTGACTCCAACAAGCCAAAGGTTGCATCTTTTGGCAGCGGGTCCTGGTTTTGCAGGCAGGAGCTTGTGATGAACGGTGCATCGCTTTGAGTTGATATTCCAAACAATCTTTCGGGCGGGCAATTCGATCATGGAAATGGAAGACCCCACATATTTTGCGCGCAATAGTTGCGAAGCTGGATCTTCCTGCTTTCTGAAGATTTTCACCACTGTGATGTAAGAAATGTTACGTGGAGTTGGCTGCATAAATTGCATCATGGGCTCATAAGAGGAAGAGAGGACTCCCCAATATAAGAAAACCACAACTTTCCTGCAAAATTCAATCCTTGTATTTTCCGTTTTGTTGAGTTCCGTGGAAGACTTGTGGACATCAGGCTTGGCCTAAGTTGCCTATTTTGCCATAGGGAAGTTCAACAACAGCAGACCAACGGCAAGGAAGCAAACAGACCAGCAGACTAGCAGTAGAAGCGGCAGCAGCAATGCCAGCCAAGCTGTTTGCATGCCAGAACTTGTTTGCATTCGATGAACATATGCCAGGGCAATCTCAGAACCTCCATTTTGGAACCTTTGGATGCAGATTCCAGTGCTCTGCATATTCTCTGGGGGAATCGTGAGGCACCTTGCTGAATGCTGCTTGCCACGCCTGTCGCTTGGGCACTGCATGGAGTATGGCATTTGCTTTGCTCCAGACAGGCCTCCTGCCACAGCTACACTCTGTGATCCGCATATCTTCATTTTCCAGATCCGCACATAGTGCTGAAGGCAATAGAGGTCATAAACTCTTGAAGTTCAAAAACACATTTCCAGAGTTATGTGTTGGAGGTATGTTATTTGTGTTTGTTGTGTTTGTCGTGTTGGTGCTTGGAGGTAGCCCTGACCTCGCAGCCTTCCGAGCTAGCCTGCAGTCTGCAGAGGATGCAGGTGCATGGGGCAGCCAAGGCGATCATCGCATCGGGCTGATGAGGGCGCTACGAGGAGTGGCCAGAGGACCGCTCTGTGGTGAAGGTCGTGGCATCAAACCCTGGGGTGAAGCGGTGTCTTGTTTGAAAAGGACCATTATTGCCCACAGACATATTACAAACGCTACTTTTTAGAGTAAATGACAACTGGTGTTACGAGGGTAACAAAGAACTTGTTGGCTTTGTGAGTTTAGTGTCAGACTTTCAGAACTGTACGATCTTGTTTCAACATCTTTTTGCCTTCCAAGCTATGGGTACATTTGACATGTTATCCAACCTCCAAACTGAGGCTGGTGCTGCAAATCACTTGGTGCAGTGGAATTCTGGAAATACTGGGTGCAGGCTCCTGTCTGGGACAGCCCAGCAAATTTGGAATGTGCTTTCAGGCGGGCCGCTAAGCCACTTTTGGTGGGTGGTACTCAACAAGATAAGCTATGTTTTGATGTAATCAATTGTGGTGCACACTGTTGCCAAAGAACAATACAACAAAATTAGCCCTTTAATCTGTATATCACCAAGGCATGGGGTAACATCTGATGTTTCACTTTGATTGATACCACCATGGTCGATGCCCGCTCACTTCAACAGGCTGATGCAAAGCTGAAGTATTCAGTTGAAGCAGATCATCGACATCAATTGTAACACATCAGAAATGCAGACAGAACGATTATCAAGACGAACTCTTGAATGGATCAGTGGGTTGAAACACTCTCACGCACCTCCCAAAGGCCATCCGTTAATTGCTTCAGGCACTTTGGGATCAGCGAAGATGAAGGATTTCTACGATGTGGGCAGCCTCAATGCAAGAGACTTGATCTCCAAGTCTGGGCAGCAGCCCCATGCTGAGGACTGGGTCCGTCTGAAGAGGAAGGATATTCTCCAAAGAGAGTTTACTTTTCCTCTTTTCAGGCTGTTCTGCAATTTGGAGTATCTCAATATCTCCTCTATCTTCATGGATCAGGTGTTCCTTAGGCCCTTTTGTAGAGCCTGAAGCAATCCTTTCAAGTCCAACGGATCAAATTGATCAAAGTTTCTGCGCACCCAAACCCACGGAAGCTGCGTGTCAAGCTGCGCGTCTGAGCCATCACCAGGACCCGCTTCAATCTGCGCGGGTGGCCGTCACCAGCGCTTGGGTGGCTTTGGAAACTCCACTGCCGGCCGCAGCGGCTGCTTCGCAGCTGGTGGCCTGGTGCCAAGCAGACTTGGCCACTGGGCGGGATTGGTGGCCTGGGTGATGGCACCAGCCAAGTTAAAAGACCCGCCGGATGGTTTTCTCTTTTAAAGAGCTTTCCGCACTGGAAGCTAAGTAGTTGAAATCTCGGCTTCTCAGGTGATTCCATCTCCGAGTGGATATCGCTTTATGCTTGAAAACAATGGGCCTGGTCGTGCTGGCAGTCCTGTTTTGATAGCATGACCGTTGAGTTTGCAGTTGGAGATGGGCGCAGTCGCACAAGCGAAGCTGGAGTAGTTCTCCTTCCTTCCTTCCTTTCTTCCCTCCTTGCTTGCTTTCTTTCTTTCTTTCTTCCTGTGCTTGCGTCCTGAATTTGGCACGGAAGGACAAGCTGGGCACCCTCCGAAAAGTGTTGAAGGAGCGGGTTTGGGAGTGGGTTGGTTTATACAATCATGTTTAACTGGGGTGATTTAGCAGCGCAACAATGACAGGTCAGTCTTTCCGCACAGTCAATTGGCAGGGAAGCCTGAAAAAGGTACCCAGTCTTTAGTTAATCAACTCATGATTTTCGATTTGCCACCATCTCTTCAAACAAAGTGGTAACAATGAAAGGATTTCACATCTCAATACAGGCCGTTCAATGGGGGGACCTATTTCTCACCTTTGTCAGAATTCCCAGCATTCTCCAGTAATAGACTCGCTATGCTGGCGGAGGATCCGGACCTGAAAACCGTGAAGCTCCATTTGGCCTCTTGGGGCCTGGGCCTGAGGATGTGACTTCCAAAGGAACTGACATCAAAAAGAAGGAACGAACCACTTGTTACTAGTAGTGATGGCCTCCAACCTAATAGCAATGGCCTCTACCTCAATTTTGTTTTTCATATTGTAGTAATCCTTAAACAGGGTGGTGCATACTGTAACACAGCGTATCAGTTGCACCACGAGACGGACCATCCGCTGGACATGAATGGATTTTGTACCATCAAAGCTGTTCTGAATCCTTCGATCCAAACACTGAACTCCTCACTTCAAGGATTTAAATCAGGGTTTCCAGACGTGTCAAGTGGAGCTGCTCAGGTTACTGCACAAAGAATGATATTGACGAGGTCCCGTCTCGGCTGAGCTCGGTGAAGCAACCAGCTTTGCAACTTTGTGGGACAACAGAAAGTGACTTATGAAAGACCGCTATTTGCGGTGTTTATGAATTTTGAACACCATTGGTTGGAGCAACATAAACGATGGTTTATGTATTGATATGTTGGGTTTTTGTTTACTTACACACTACACACCGCAACTGGATGGAGGATGACAGACATGAACGATGACCATACCCTGCGTACGATGACACTGATGACACCGCATGACCCTTCTGAGAAGAGGACCCAGCGCTGAGAGATGCAGTTGGCTCCATGACGACGTCCGGTTGTCAAGGGGACGAAGCACCCGTTCGCCTGAGGTGACAGACGGCCTCGATGTGAACCTGCTCCACCGGTCGGACCTGGAGGCCGTTGGGAAGACTGGAAAGACGGTGAAGCTTCTTTTCAATGGGCCTTTTGAGAATTCACCCGCACAACCCTTCAGATATTCAGGTGATATCAGATATCAGATATCCACCCCAAAAGAAGGGCTCTCTGGAGGGTGGGGATTGACACAGGGAATCTGAGAAAGAGCGCTGCCACACATGTCGTGTGCGGAAACATCTTCGTTTACCTCCATATGTGGAAAACCTCCCCTGACCTCCACACAGACATCTGCCCTTCGCAGACGCCCACCGGCCACGCCGGCGCCCACGCGAAACCCCGCCAGTCTCTGGGAGTCTCTGAGCCGTGGCTCTGAGACGTGGATTAGTGGACAGTGGCTTTCAAATGTGGCACGGATCAGTATGATCAGAGGATCATCCGGGTCATTCGAATCATCATTGTCATCCAAAAGTGACTGTATGACTTGGTCAGTTGGTCATTCCCCTTTTTTTCGCTTCCACCGTCTCAACAAGGGCCGTCTGAGCAGCTTAGAACTTCAGAGCTGACTCTTTGCAGTCTCCGAAGATACATAGTTGTGCCAAGTTGCAAAGTGCTCCTTGCATCGCTTCCGTATCGCTCCTTGATTTCAGCAGATTTAAAACGTGCCCAGAGCGAGCTTGATGTTGATGACCTTTTGCTCAGGCCGGTGCTCAATAAGTAAGAACAAAAGCACCCTCAGGACTCAGCACCTTTGATGTTTGAAGATATTGAACATCTCGAAGACCGTTGGCTTGTGCGCATGCTTCACCCACACGAGGGTTTCTGACTAGCGAAGGATTTTGGTCACTTTTATCATCACCGACGCATGGGATTTTGTTTCGCCGCGTTTCGGATGGTCGCGACGTCAAACTCTCCACACCTGAGAAGAAGACTTGCCACGTTGCCGACGAGGACATTCGTGACATCGTGCTATTCGGAACGAAAGGGGCAGAAAGTGGCATATTTTTGGCTGTAGGAATCTATGGAAGCGTGTCGGTACATTTGGGACAAAACGGGATGTCACGGGGGCTCTTAAATCATGACTCGTGCGTTTGTGAACAATGAAAGGGTGTGGAACGAGCCGAAGAGAATCGGTGCATGTTTGGAGATTGAAATTCACTTCTGCAGAGGAATCTCCTTCAGGTAGAAGAGAACGCAACCACCAAAATCACGCAACCATCAGAAACGACCTGAGGCACATGTGGTGGCCAGAGACGCCAGCCGTGAGCACGGCAAACTCGTTGTGAGAGGCTCAGAGGTGCTTGACACAGCGACACCCGCCGCTTTTCCATGGTTAAAGGAGGCGTCCATTCAACACATCCATTTGAAGGAGGCACTCAAACTTGTCTCTCAGATGCCCAGGCAATAGAATTCATCAGAGTGGTTGATTAGATGCACTAGTACTGAGTTGTAGACGGTTGTAGATATTTGTAGATATGGTTAGCTGGTTCCATGGAAACATGCTTTCACCTGGCCCGGTCAGTGACCTTTCCAGAAGCAGGCTTTGCAAGCACGATGGCGGCGTTTTCAGGCGATCAAGCTAGAGGCGAGCCCAGCGCTAAATTGCATCAAGTGATTGCCAGATGAGATAAAGACTAAAGCCGCGTGCAAATTCCACAGTATGCTCCCAGATCATTAAGCCGTCATAGAAAACATGGCGAGAAGAACACACCACTCGCCAGGTGCAGAAGCGTCGTCGGCGACGGCAGCTGCGAGGAATTTGGATGGCTGCGGCGACGCTTGTGTGATGAAGCCAAGAAGCTGAAAGAAGATGGACAAGCGACTGATGGGGGTTCCACATGTTTCCACCATATTCACTCACATAGAGGAGTTTGAAGACGTAGCGTCACCTGGAATGGTTTTGTGCCCGGTACCGGTACCCTGATGTACCCTGACGGCCGAGTCTTTCCCCCAAACAGCCGCGTTTGAGCCTGTCGGGCCCCTCAGGTTGGAGCTAAAGCGAAGACAACGTCTCCTGCAAGCGCGGAGGAAGAAGCAGCTGCTGGCCGTTTTCTGGTGTTCTGCACGAAGCCGGTGAGAGGCTAAGCCGGTGAGTTGCCGTTCCTGGTGACATGTTGAAAACATCGGGGCCCTTACCCCTCCTCCTTTCAGTCCTTTTTTTTTGCTAGCTCACTCAGACGGTGACTCACAAGCGGTCACCACTGGTTTCTGTAGGTGTTGACCAATCTTTTTAAACCTGCATTATTCTTACTTACCGAGGGATCAAACATCGAAACCCAAGGGCTATTTGGGAAAGGCTTGGGATGCTGAAGATGTTGGGAGGCATCGTGAGCATCATAAAGGTGGAGGGTTCGAAGATAGTGGAGGTCTTCAGACTACTGCCGACATTCCAACTATACGGATCCACGTCGATCCCCCATTCAAAACGATCCCTATTCTTGCACAATTTTTGTTTTTTTCGACATAAACGTTCACAAAAGCCCACGTTGTTCGCACTCCCAACCCTTTGGACATCGACATGCTCGGTGATCCTCCGGGACTCCCTCGCTCGCTCGCTCGCTCACTCAAACACACTCTTTCGACTTGTCGACTGCATGAACACTGCTGCCTGGCTTTCGTTCCTCCCTTTTCAGGTTAATCATGGTGAATATCCTGTTCATTTTCCTACATGTGACCTCAGTGTCCTTATCTCGTGTGCCCGCTCAATGCGAACAGTTCGCGTTGAGCAGAACCGTGGAAACGAGGCAACTCCTAGCGGCGGTGCGGCGACGGCTCCTTCATCGGAGACGAAGGCGCCGACTGGCACAGCTTCGTGCTGTGGGGCAGATTCTGTCTGGAGCTTGGAGGCTTTTTGAGGCGAGTGGCTCTGAATTTGAGGCGTCACTCAATGTGTTGATTTGTTTGATTTCACTGAATTTGAGAGAAGACCAAGGTGGTCCTTCCAGCGAGCGCATCGAGCAAGGATACAGAAGAGGATGCTAGTGCTCAGAGGTGTTTTCCGTGCATCTGCACACCTTGTGTCACAGCCTCAGCGATTTTCCGAAGACACATGTCAATAAGTAGAGATAGCATTGCTTCATTGCGGAGGCTGCAGATAGCTTATCTTATGATTTTTATTTTGGGTCCAGCCTAGTGACTGAACATGAGAAGATGAATAAGCTGCCTTTGCAAGAAGACAAACCGTGGAGTCCAGTCTTGTGTCAGTCCAGTCTTGTGACCACTTGGGTTTTCATAGCTTGTTGGTGCGATCTTCGATGCAGCCTTTGGGACTCTGAAGCACCAAGGCTCATGGTATTTGATGAAAAGAAGCATTCTCCTCACCCTGATGGGTCTCAGGAGTCCAAGACACTCTAAGGCGATCTCTACATCGTGTCCGACGGCTGCGCAAGGCCAAGCACCAGCGGCAGCTGATGACCCTGTGGAGGTCCAGGGCCATCTTCCAGCCGGGAGACCTGCCGGTCGATGAAATCGGCAAGGACTCATCTCGATGACGCAAAAACCGAAGGACCTAAACACACGTGGAGAACACGGAAGAGCATGAAGGGAGAACGTGGAGTTGAGCTCTGGTTTTGAGATAGACTTAAATCAGCGATCAAAATGATCAAAGGACTATGTCTGGAAATGGGAGCCTCAACCGCAAAAAGGACATTCGCCTGTAATTCGTTGTCTTTTTTCCGTCTACTTCGAGGTCCCCAAGACAACCACAATTCAGTCACCTATTGCGTCAGGTGCTTTGATGCTCCAAACAATTGAGCCAGAGCCCATCGGCCAGCTAAACGCAACGCAAGGCTAGCATTGGTGCGGGCTCGCAAAGCCATCAGACGGAGACGACTGAGAGGCGACGGTCGCCGGTTCCCTGACAAGACGGATGAGAGACGGATCAAACGACGGACTGCACAACGACGGAGTCGACCCATACGTGCTTGGTATTTTTTTGTTTGCAATTTTTTGTCGCTTGTTCGGGTGATAAGTTTGGCTCTCTTAGCAGCACAACAGTGCTGTGCAATCAAACTGGTCAACTCATGCAGCATGCATGTCAACTTAGTTTTGCAATTTTCTGAGTTCGATCTTGTATGGAAAAGGTTCTCTTTTGTAACCTGTTTCTATTTCTCCTATCCCAATCTTTGTAGTCATTCAGACTTGCAGGCTTGAGGGGCTGCTTCCGTGGCACCGTTCACATCTCGGCATTCGATGGGGGGCTGCCTCCTTGTCGATGTGGACATGGCATCATACACGCACATCAGCACGATAGCCATAGTATGTATATATATATATATGTACCTATTATGTATTATGTATAACTACATATATATATATATACACAAATGTATTTATGAGTCATACTAATGTTCAAAACTTGCAAATTAATTCTTCAACCAGAAACGATTCTGAGGTCGTTCTGCTGCGCAGTTGTCACCGAGCGAGGCGACGCACGTGGGCAGCTGTGGAGGCCGAAGAGCAAAGCAAACCTTCAGACGGTTAGCGTCCTTGCTCCTAGTAGCGATGCGCCTAATAGCTTCTTGTTCCTAGTAGTAAGATTGGTTGAAGGGAACATCTACTGGAAACCAGAGGTTTTGAGGGCGAACACCTTAAACACATCGATTTCAGCCAGAAGGAAAGCACGCGGAGGCTCAGACCAAACAGTTTTGCGCTTTCTTGCCCGCCCCACCGACCTCTCTTAGATATTCTTTTCGGAACCCCATCAACGATAGGGCAGCGACACAGCTAGACTCACAGCTAACAGATTGTACCAATCTGACAAGAAGCCTACCATTTTGTTGTTGTTGTCGTCACATTTTGGACTCCTCCCTGTTCTCCCTCCTGGATTGTATAAGCATTTGCCTTGTGCACAGCGATGCCTGCAGATACAGCGCCATGTCCGCACTTTCTTGGAGCGCGAGACTTTGCAGATAATGGTGCCCTTGTTGGAGTTTGTGTTTGCGATTCGGCGGGTGTCTTCTCCAAGCTTGAAGCAAAAGCTTTTAAGAAAACCAAGCAGCCTGTGCTTTACCAAGCTGTCCCTTCCTTCGCTTGCCAACAACAGCTACGACGTTGTAAAAGGGACAGGCATCTGTTTGCAGGTTCTGTTTGGTTTGGCTTCCGCTCGCGTCGCTTCGCCAGGCCAAGTATCGCGGACAGAGACACGCTGCCTGGGTCTCGAAGTCCGGTTCATCGGTTCGGGCGTATGGAATGAAGGACTAATCCCAGGACTATCCCACCAAATAACATCAAACAATATCATTTATGCACACACACAAAAAAAAATATATCATCATAAATCTATGAACCTGGCACATGACATGCACAGAACTGTCAGGTTCGCTGCTTCCGTGGGATTGTCCAGCGATACGATGCACAGGGGGCTGGTGCCTTGGAAACGGAGACCGTCCGTTCCAGCCCAAATAAAAGAAC